TATATACAGTATATATATATATATGAGTATATATACAGTATATATATGCACACACTGTACACAGACATTGGCAGATGTACTGTAAACATGTTTCAATGGTTGACACTGTAAACAGATTTTGGGGTCACAGTTATGAATATGGGACTACTTGATATAAACTTCTTGTATTTTATACATATAATAAGAAGAATAATTACAACATAAAGTAGAGATAAGGTTAGAAAGCATGAAGCTTGCGGTGTCAGAACGCCAGTCTTTCAGTCAAGTCCGAATCAAGACTCATCCATAATGCGTTATAATAACAATGTCTCAGACGGCAGATAAAAGTAAACGATAAATGAATGGGTGATCGTTACAAAAGTGTTCATCAAATACACTGAACACAGAAGCTCAAACGTGTATGATGGCTAAAACGTGTTGAGATCGGCTCAAGACATCCCTACTAAAAATGCAAGATATCAAACAATTTTTATTTATATAAATATATATATATATATATATACACACAAATATAACATTACAATATAACATTCAGTATATAATAAAACAGTAATATTTACCTGCATATATTTTTACTAAAACATTGTACTACTTAAAAAATTAGTGTTAAACTCTGTTCAATATATTTTCAAGTTTTATTCTATGACATAAAATACATTAGTAATCTTTAGCGTTTTATTTCTGATGATTGTGTTTAGGCTATCAAATTCATAAAGGTTCTTAATTTGTGAAGATTTTCATGATGAACCAAATATTTGTTGGTCACATTTTATTTTCTGCAACAATCCAAAAACAATGGAAAAAAATCCTATTGAGTTTTTGTTGAGGGAATCAGGATGATGCTAACTTGGCCTACAAAAAAAGGTTTTCTCTCAGCTCTCTAGTTTGAACTGATTCATGGAAGTGGATCCAACTTACAAACATAAACATTATAGATGGTGTTTGAATATCTCTGTGCTAACATTCTTATGCCCTCAAATTGCAAAAATTATCTAGAGGCCGAACAAAAATATATAGTACAAAAAAATCACATTAAAATCATTGCGACAGAACAGAAAGGTGTTTTCGTGTTTTTTGTCTTGTGAATCGCAGTGTTTTTGTACGTATTCGTCGCGTCTATCTGTCTCTAAGCGCGCATACAGTCGTGAGTTTCTATGTGCTGTACATGTGGAAGAATTGACAATAAAGCAGACTTGACTTGACTTGACTTGATTGCACTATTTACAATGTTGCTTAATCTTATATTTCCAGGAAGTTCATTTGAGAACACATCGATATCACCCAACCCTAATTTAGGAGTGTCTGAGAAGCGTGGCTCTTTTGTGTGATTAATTCCAGACCAAAGTTGTATAGCCTTGCGTAATGGAGACTATAGTTATAAATCTTATACTTTCTGTTAAACAGTATCACTGATTAAATTTTTGTGAGAAATTCAAGTTCACAGTTTACCTGATTAACTATGATTAACCATATTTCAAGATGAAAGCAAAAACCAACATTCTTGCGTAACCGTTTTTGAGAATGTTCTCTCGTTAAAGCTCTTCTCACCCCAAACTCTGTTTATTGGTTATATCTGCATTTGTGCCAAGCATTGATTTCTGGGTTAACACGTGGGGACCTTAATGCCTGAACATCTTATTAATCATTTCGGGGGAGACACTTTGTTAATATGTAAGACCTTGGAGATTTCACTGCTCCTCAATAGACAATCATCCCATTCCAAAACAGCCACACTGTGTGTATTTGTGCCATTGCTCATTTTTTCATTTGAGTCCTCTCTCTGTGTCCTCTGTGATATGTGCGTGTGTGTCCCTTGTTGTATCATGATGTTGTGTGTGGATCAGACGTGCTGGTGCAGAAGAGTGGATTTGTAGTGGCTGACAGGAGACCTGAGTCTTTTGGTAAGATGATCGTACTGTTGCTGTGTTTCTAGTTCCGTCTATACTCTTGTGCAAGTGATTCTTCTCCAGCAATGTGAAGTTCAAGTGTTATCAGCATTTATTTATGTGCAGCTTCACTGAGTTAATTTTGGGCTATGTGTGTATTATTGGACAATAACAGATAGCATTATTCCTAATGGTTCAGAAGATAAAGACTGAGAGAGTCTGAATGCTCTGTTTAAAGGCTTGATAACTGTTATAGTTGTACTTTAACTATTACATGGTATACTTAGTGTTGCTTTCGTCAATGAAAATTATGACTAAATATCGTCGTCAACGAACCTTTATCACGTGACGAAAACGAGACGAGACGCAACGTAAATGCTGGTCATGTGACGATGACTATAATTAAATGTATAATGCAATATTGTTGACGAATAAAAACGAGACTAAATGTGGTTTACAAAATAAAAACTATGCTAAAATGTCTCTTAATTTTCGTTGACCAAAACGAGACGAAACGAAATGGTATAACGTTATTTCGTCTCGTGTAGTCGCGTTATTATTATTATGTTGCAGTATTTCTGTTAAAACTAATAAAAACTAAAATGACAGCTTCACACAAAGACTAGACTAAAACTAAAATTAAAACAGGCCGCCAAAAACAACACTAGGTATACTTAGTACTTACTGATGTCACTTTTTTATGAGTGAGCAAAGTGAACAAAATTTACTCCCTTTAGGTTTGCACTACAGTTATTCAAAACTTTGATCAAAAGTTGTGAAATATTATTACAATTTTTTTTTTATTCTGTTTTAATATGTTTTAAAATGCAATTTATTCCTGTCATGTTGAACTGAATTATTATAAAAATTCTTATCAATGTTGAACACAGTTGTGCTGCTTAATATTTTTGTAGAAACCATGAGACGTTTATTCAGTATTCTTTGCTGAATGTAATGAACAGCTTTTATTTGAACATTTATTTTATAACATAAATACTTAAATTTGACAGACAGCATCTGTATGGTGTCCACGTAACGCAGAAAATACATTATTTATTAAATAGTCAAATTAAAATGACTTAACATGTTTGCAGTAATACACTTGGAATCATAGCACTAGATCGCCCTGATTCAGAAGTATATCCATGATAAACATCTAAACATTACATGGGTTAGTATATAATAGAATTAATTATCAATCCTCTGTTAAATTCAGTCATGATTATTTAGATCCTGTAATTTTCGCATGATACATGCAAGGATATGAGAAATATATGTGATATAACTATATGTAAAGCACTGTTTACAGGGAAACTCTTTACTCTGTGGTAATCAACGCTGACGGTAGCACTTAAGTCATGTTTAAACTGTAAAAAAAAGTTAAACTGTTAAAATATTTCTTGAACAGTTGACGGTATATCACACAGGACATCTCTGTGTGACTGAGCAGTTCATACTCATTTCTGCCATCTGAGAACTGCGGCTTTTGTTTTCAGATCTGTTGAACTATCAGTTTTGAATGTAGGCCCATCTCTCACGCTGCAGCATTAGATGACCATGATAACCCACGTCTCCACTGCTCTCGTCATTTCTTGTATCTTTCCATTATTCTGCGAAGCGGGTTGGATTTTAATTGGACTGCGAGATTGATGTTCATTTCACAACTCTGCAGATTTTTTTATGGTGCCAAGTACTTTATGTCTGTGATTATCTGCACGCACTTACCCTGTCAGTTCGATCAGGTATTGGAGTCATTGTTACTGTAATCTGCTTTGATAGGCCTCTCCTGATGAATGCTTTAATAAAGACATTGGCAATCCAGTAAAATCAGTTTCATTGCTCCTTTCATAGCTTACTTTCTCTCTCTTCTTGTTCTCTCCCTTCCTCCAGGGCTGGTTCAGAGATGCGTGATCATTCAGAAAGATGAGAACGGCTTTGGGCTGACCGTCAGTGGGGACAACCCTGTTTTTGTGCAGCTCGTCAAACAGGGTAAGATGCCTGTCTGCCACGCTGTCTGTCTTTCTGGCTCCGCCCACACCAGCTCCTGCGGGTGTATGTCGAGACTCTCCCCTTCCCAGGCTGATAAGACTTGCCTGGAAGTCAGAAATGGAGCTGATGTGCTCAGAGCAGGACCAAGAGGACACCTTAAAGCATCATAAAAGAGAAGCAGGGAACACATTGAATAACAAATATTGAATTTTAAATAAACATTATATGTATTATATAAACACATTTAAACATTATATATATTATATAGACACACTGAAGTCAGGGTAACCACATATTTAAGTTTTGACCAGAACAAAGATGAGGCAGTGTGTTCCTGTTGACAATTGTTTAGCTTTCCAAAAACTTTTCAGTAGACAAAAACATATGTTAATGAACATAACTCCATAAAACAGTTTTGAAAGTTCTGAGCTGTGAAAATTCGGAAGGAATTTTGTAAAATGGACTTTTACATAAACTTTTTTATAGTTTTTATCTGAAGTTCATTTGAAGATAAAAAAATTAAGACAAAAATATATTATAGAGTTGTATATACAAAATGATTTCGGCATTTATTTTCTTAAGTTGAATTTCATAAAATGATTGTATTTATTATATTTTATTAAATTGTTGAATGTTGAATCTGAAGCTGATATGGCAATAAATTGAAATTCAACTAACGTTTGAGTTTGTGAAAATTCCATAGAGTGCATGCCTTTCTAAAGACTGTAAATGTATCCCCCTCACAGCTTTGTTTTCAACTTTCAGTAAAATTCAGTATGCTGTCTGTCTACCCTGACTAAATTTTATATGCTTTGACATTTCTAGTGGGGCAAAAAAAGTGTGTGTTACTCAAATTAAAGTCTGAACAGCAAAAATGTATCTAAATATATATGATTGTTACAAAACTTTGTTTATCTTAGTCTAAAAGGTGGTCGTTCAGGACATAATGCACTCGTCATACAGTGTGGAATATTCTGTAGAAGTGCACGCATAATTGCTCAGTTTTCAAGTTTTTAACTGTGACATTGTAGTGAATTGTGATTGAGTGAGCACGTTTACATGAGACAGTACATGCGTGAATACCCAAAATGGAGGTTTCGTCATTTGCAAAATGACAGTGAAAACCAGTTTGTGTGCGGTGTAAATGGAGCACATAAACCACATAGCACTGTGCTGAAAAACCACCCAGAACCCCTTAGCAACCAGATGGCAGCACTCTGGCAACCACCAGCTGCACCAGAAAACACTTTCAATTCATAATCATCTCATGTATTTTGGTAGATGGCGCTGCCATGCGTGCAGGTGTTCAGACTGGGGACAGGATCATTAAGGTAAGATGCTTGCAGATGCAAGGTTACTGTACAAAGCTGTATTTCTCACTGCCCACTACCCCTCTCTCTTCACCACTGCATTTCAGCATCTGTCTATTCTGCCACCTGCTGGTCACAAAATGACCATGTTTGAGGCGATGTTGGAGAACTCGCATGTATATGTTTTATAGTCAGAGTATATTGCATTTTTAATGTTTGTCTCCTCTGCTTTAGGTGAACGGGACATTGGTGACGCAATCAAACCATGTTGAAGTGGTGAAATTAATTAAATGTGAGTTTAAGCCATTTGTTTAAGTAAAGACGAACAAGTCATGTCTCCACCACTGACCAAAACTCATTTGTTCTTCACAGCCGGCTCATATGTGGCCCTCACAGTATTAGGCCGGCCTCCCGGGTTGCCCCAGATCCCCCTCTCTGAGGTAGACGTGGATCTCGGGTCACCGGGGGGTTATGGGGACCCTTTCGTTACATCTCCCAACTCATACAATGCAGCGGAACGCACCTCCTCTCCTCTTGTGTCATGGGTAAGAACCCCATAGATTGCAGCAAATTGTTTTCCCATCTGATTTTTTATTTTGTTTTTTCATTCAGTGTTTATTTGTTGTCAGTTTACTTCCTCATATCTCTCCTCCAATTAAATTACATATTCAGTATTTATAATTTGCTCCTCCTTGTCATTTGTCAACCCAACCCTACATAGGAAGAGAACAGTGCTCCACTCAACCAAAGAATAGACAACAAGAGGATGGTGTCTAAGGAGCAACAGGACATACAGGTCAGAATCTAAATATCAGACTCAAAACTACTGCTTTAAATTTGACACACATGCTACTTTCAATTTCACAAAGTGTACCTGTCAGTAAAGTGTTGAGTTACAGAGCTGTATTGTTGCAATATGACTTAAGTTGATAAGAATGAGGCCTTTCCTGTTGGGAGGCAATTTAGAGCTTCAGTATAGCTGATAAGTGAGAGGGGAGACTTAAGCTCCACCCACTATGTTTCGACACAGTTAACACCTTCACATGTCTTGTTAACAAAGATCTGTCATTCTCATTGTCTTGGAGAGCAGCATAAAGAGCAGAGCAACATGTCAGAGTTGTTAGGCTGATATTTGTCTGTTACCCTTTGACTGTGTGTGTGTACAAGATCTGATTATGTAGTATATGAAAATGTCTCTTCTTTAGGGACTGAAGGAGGACTACAGCAGAACTCCCACACCCAAACCACTACGGGACATCCAGGAAGCCAAGAAGCACATTCCACATCAGCAGGGCCATACACATGTATGACATTTCTGACCCGTTTCAATTCTGTTCATATTCATAATATCAGAAACACACTGTTAGGGAGTGGTCAACCAATTTTGATATAGCTAGAGAGACAGATTGTTTGATTATAAATATTTGTATATTATATGATAATAAAGTTACACAAAAACTTACAATGCAGCCATTTTCAGCATTGATGATAATAAGAAATGAACACCAAATCAGCATATTAGAATGATTTTTGGTTCATGAGACAAATTCAACTTTGCATAACAGGAATAAATTACATTTTAAAATATATTATATAATGTTTAATATATAAAATATTAAAATAGAAAAGTTATATTAAATTGTAATAATAGTTTGCAGTATTACTTTTTTATTGTATTTTTGATCAAATAGATGCAGCATTGGTGAGGGTGGCTTATTGTTTTATCTTAATAAATATGTAATTAATACAATTTTAAATAAATTACAAAAATAGAATATATTTGTAAAAATTTGTATTTTTGGATAATAGCAGCTTTCCCTTGTTTCTTATGAGAGAATTTTTGGGCAAACAGTTTTCAGAGGATGCTAATTGATCAATCTGATTGATATATTGCTTGACCATTAATTACACATTATGTTAGTTTCAAAATGTCCTGAATCTGATTGAATAGCTTCGAATTATTAAGCATGTATTGACTGTATCTCAATCTATGCTTTAGGAGAGTCTGTGTCTCAGGAACAGTGAAGATGGCTTTTGGGTGCATGAGGATCAATATAAGGGAGATTTCAGCCCAGAGGGTTTATGGAGTGGAAGATCAGTGTCATCTGTAAGTGTACACTGCGCTCTCTTTTCTTTGAGATATCTTCACTGATCTCAGTTAAACAGTGGCACTTATCATGAGTGTACTCAGTGGCTTTTGTTCCTTGCTACCCTGTGGTGTAATTAATTGTGTTTACGGTGTGTGATGTGCAGGTCCAGCGCCGGTTCTACCCGGCCTCTCCAGAGAGCCAACGGGACTCCAACTGTTCCAGTCCAAAGAGCATCCCCAGAGACAGCCTCAATTTCTGCCCCTCCCCTGAGGTCGAGGACGGTTTTGACCTGGTGAGAACCATTGCTTTTGACAGATCTTTCCGCCTGATTTCTTATGAGCATGATTGTCACACCTTTCTACTTCCCGTAGGATTCTCGTTTCTCATCCACCATTGGGAGCCCACCCTCCCGCCTGGCTTCAGAGATCATTGCTGCTGAAGATGATGACTTTGACATTGAGCAGGAGCAGGTATTTTCAGTTCCTTTCCCTCAGTGCAGGGACCGTGGTCTTAGTCACCTGCCTCTTTAACCTGATCTGATGTGTCTCAGGTGAACGACCAGTGCAACTGCTTCCAGAGTATTGAGCTGCTCAAGTCTCGCCCTGCTCATCTTGCTGTCTTTCTGCACCATGTAATCTCTCAGTTTGACCCTGCACCTCTGGTAAGTTCCAGCAGTAATTAGCAGTGCTTGCTTAGGCAAGCAAGACTATTGCTATTGGTCATGCGTTCTTATGATTTTCACCTGACTAACAGTAAAACTGTCAACTTGGGTTGACAATAAGTATCCCATAGATTTTGAAGAAGGGATTTTTAGGAATTTTGTTAAATCAGTTTTGTCTGACTTGTCAAGCTATAAGCATGCCTGCGTTAATTCAGTTCACCATATGTGAGAATTTCTGAAATTTTTTCACGATTGATTATTCTTTTCATGAGAAGAGGATCCAAATCTCAATACATTAATAGCAGAAAACATTGTTTGAAAAAGTATAAAACATAAAAGAGGGAAATTGTAGCATATGCAATATCCCACTGAAGTATTCATGTCTCAAGCTCTGATGTAACAGCCTGTTGCACAATGAATGCACGATAAACCACTCAGAAATCCAAACTGCATGTTTGGGCTAAGATGCACTGACAAAAATCAGTTTTTAATCAGACCACATATGAAGGATTTAATGTGGGGTTTTTTTTTCTGTTCAGACTACAAAAAAACTAAATTAACTTGAATTGAATAGGCAAAAAACAGATTTTTGATGCTTGTGAGAGTAGTGTTAATTTCATTAACGAAGACTGATGAAAAATGTTATGAAAAATGAAAAATGTGAGCTTTCATGAGTGCAGTTGCTAACACGTCTACTACTTATGCAAACGTTGATCACACTACAAACAATACAAAACTATAATGCTATAAGAAACCGAAAAGATTAATTAATTGTTTACCTTCAGTCTATGATTAGCTCACCTCACCTCTTATCTGACAAGTCTTCGGGTTTGAGTCGTTCGATCAACACGTGACAGCCTCATAAACTTAACCAAAGCAGTCTGAGCCGGAAAGAGAATTGATTAGTTCATCTCTCGAGTCTTCGGGTTTGAGTCGTTCGTTCATCACGTGACAGACAGACCCATAAGCTTAACCTATGCAGTCTGAGCTGGAAAGAGAATTGATTAGTTCATCTCTCGAGTCTTTCGAATCGTTCGTTTGTTCTTTTGTCACGTGATGTGACAGCATTGGATAGAGAAATTAGTTAATTTAAAAGATTCCTTACAAACGGGTGCATAGTTATTATTATTATTAGTAGTAGTAGTAGTAGTATCATTATTATAATTATTATTTACTCTTACAGTTATGTGATGCGTTTCTGGTCTCAAATTGTAGCTTTTTACTTCTTACAGTTTATAAATGTGTGAATTTCTGTCATGATGGTTCTTTTCCATAACACTGAATGTTGTAACAAAGGTAATAAAGAGTTGGTTATTATTATTAAGTCTCTTTCCGGCTCAGACAGCATAGGTTAAGCATATGGGTCTGTCACGTGATGAACGAAGGACTCGAAAAACCCGAAGACTCGAGAGATGAAC